ATATACGTCTTGCACAACACTATATTCAAGTTGCATGTTTATTCGGCTCTATAAGCCACACAGCCACCTAATTATAAATTGATAACTACGACACGTGTGCATAGGTAGTACAAGTCGAACATAGCATAGAAACATGCAATTGGCATTATCACCCTTTCAATGGCGTATAAATATCGAACTATCCCTCAAAACACGCCATCAAGAAGAACTTGATGCCATAGAAACCCGGGGAAGGTAAGTGGGCCTTATCGCTCGCCGCCTTTCTGATACGTCACCCACTCTGTTCTCGCGACCTAACTCACATCTGAACCACCTATCTGATTCAATCTTGCCAAATTGCGCTCATTTTTCGAGCGCGTCCTACATTTACATCTTTATCACGTCCCAACAGCCATCATGGCATCGGACTTGGATCAGCTCATTGAAATGGGCTTTGACAAAGAGCGCGCCCAGCTCGCAGTGACGAAGACTGGTGGCTGTAAGTTTTTGTTTCCCCAATATCTATAGTGGGGTATCTGCTAACTGACCGAACAGTGCAAGGTGCACTACAGTGGCTTGAGGACAACCAAGACAAGTCATTAGAGGAGATAAAGGCACAAACGAAAGCAGCACAAGACGAAGAGAACCCTGCTCTTCAACCAGGCGAACAACCACGCAGCTTAGTATGCAACGAGTGTGACAAGAAGTTCCGAGGCCAGTCACAGGCCGAGTTCCACGCATCAAAGTCGGGACATGTTGATTTTGCTGAGTCTACGGAGGAGATTGCTCCCTTGACAGAGGAGCAGAAGAAGCAGAGACTGACAGAGCTGCGGGAGAAGCTTGCGGCGAAGCGCGCAGGGCTCTCGGACCAGGACAAGATTGACAAGAAGAAGAATGAGGTGTGTATTCCTGATTTTGGTCGATTGAGGTATTTTGCTCACTTTTATTATTAGGAAATCCGAAGGAAGAGCACCAAGGAAAGTCAAGATGCTAAGGAGGAACTCGAGCGGAAGCAACAGTTGAAGGAGGCAGCCAAGAAGAAGAAGGAGAAGCAGGATGAAATCGATGCCAAGAAACGTATCAAGGCGAAAATCGAGGCCGACAAGGAGGAGCGTCGATTGAAGGCCGAGAAGCAGCGAGCTGAGCGTGCCGGTGTGGCTCCTCCTCCCCAGCCTGCTGCCGCTCCAGCACCCACTTCCTCCGGTCCCACTACGTCTAAACCTGCCTCTGCCTATACCGAAACTCGACTGCGATTCCAGTCATCCAAGGGTAACGTCATGAAGACATTGCCCGTCGATACCACGTTGTTTGAGGTTGCCGCCGCATTGAGGGAACAGGATGGGATCGAGGTCCAGAGCTTCGTGCAGACTTTCCCCAAGAAGGTGTTTGATAATGAGTTTTTCGGAGAGACTTTGAAGGAACTAGGACTTGTGCCCAGTGCCAGTCTCGTCATCCAATGATTGATGCCATACCCTTCCTCATCCGAAAGGATAGATAGCTTTTGCAAAGAATGGGAAATGATGAAACCCCGAATGATAGCTTCCATATGTGAACCACATACCTAATAATCTCCAACTATCCTTAATATCAATTATCAATGTTGTTTACTGAAGCTCTATTCTTTATCTTATCGCGTTATCATCATGTGATGTCGCGATGAGCCGCGTCCTGGTGCCTCAAGACAACGCGCCCGACACGCCAGTACATCTCTAATATCGAACTCGACACTCATTCACAACAAAACATGCCAGCGTGAGACCAATACCCCGGACCCGAAATACCATACCCCATGGAACCGAGCACTGATAGTGATAATCTCAGCGTTGGTGACCAACATCGGGGTAATGCAGGATCTATAATGATGCCGAACGCTACAGGAGCCGCTACAGCAAACCCATTCGAGGAACCCCAACGCCGCATCAGTGAATATACCGCACAGGAAATTGCAACACTACAGGCGCGTCTTGATAAGAAATTGGGACCCGAATACATCTCTGCGCGACCTGGTGCCGCGGGGCAAAAAGTGCACTATCTCTCCGCGGACAAATGCATTAATCTCGCGAATGAAGTGTTTGGATTCAATGGCTGGTCCAGTTCGATTCAGACGATTCAGATTGATTTTGTGCGTTGATCATATGTTTATCAACTACATCACATAGGGATTGACTAACGCTTATCAGGTTGAGGAGAATCAGAACACAGGCAAGATCAGCCTGGGACTTTCAGTCATCATGAGAGTGACCTTGAGAGATGGAACATTTCATGAGGTAAAGGAATATATTCGTGATATGAATTTCTAGTGGGCCTTGTGCTAACTCCAGCCCTCTTCTAGGATATTGGCTACGGACATATCGAGAACTGCAAAGGCAAGGCCGCAGCGTTTGAGAAGGCCAAGAAAGAAGGCACAACAGATGCTTTGAAACGTGCATTGAGGAACTTTGGCAACGTGCTAGGTAACTGTATCTATGACAAAGATTATGTGGCCAAGGTGACCAAAGTCAAGGCAGCGCCTGTAAGGTCCCCGATGTCTTCCAACTTGCAATGTGCCAGCTGACTATCAAAATAGGGACGATGGGACGTTGAAAATCTTCACCGTCACCCGGACTTCGCGCCACTTAAGAAACCGCTGCCTCCACCCAAACAAGTACCCGAAGAGGATGATCTACCCCTCCCTGGTCCTCCACATCAAGCGAGAGGAAATCATGCTGGGAATAATGTTTCTTTTGATGGAGATGGAGAGTTTGGCAGTATGTATTAGAATACACAAGGTTGAACTCCGGCTAATGATTTTTAGGTGACCTCTTTGATGAAGCCGATTTCGGGGTAGCTGATACCGATATGGGCAATCCTGATGAGATCGTAATAGACACAGAGATCCTTCGAGAACAGCAGCGTACTGTGCCAACGAACGGTCCAGCGCCTCAGCGAGGACCGCCTGTTCGAGCAGGATTTAACCCCGCTGTCGTAACACCATCAAAACCAGAGCGATGGAACGGTGCGGGCCAAGCAGGACGACCTAATCCCCCAAATGTGCGACAGAACCAATCTGCTATGCCGTCTCCAGCTGCGGTACAAGGTCGACCAATGGCCGCTCAAGGTCCTGCTCAAAATCTTGCGAACCCTAGACCATCAGTCCCACCACAGCAACCAGTTGGTCAGCATCCTCCACAAAAAAACATCGTCCAGCCTCCGACCAAAAAGGAAACCGGCCCCGGCGGCTTTCAGAAAACCGAGGACATGAACCCACCACCGCAAGGCACACCGTCAACGGGTTTCTTTTCCGCAAGAGCAGTGGACCTTCTCCGTGAAAATCCAAACTCCGTCCCGTCGGGCGTACCTCAATTCGATCCACATGCTGAGAGTCCCTCCATCCGCAAGACCGCTGGTGTAGACCACAGCAAAAGCATTCCTATTCCTAGGCCGATGCTGTCGAGCGCCTCCCCAGCACCCACCATTAATAAAAATAACGCAACACGCGATTTTGTCAATCCCGCAACGGATCTGCAGCGCAGAATCGGTGCTCCTGGTGGTGGGGTTAGCAGTCCAGTCGGCAGAGGCCCTTCTGTCTCATCGTATCGACCATTGACCCGGCCCAACCTTGACCAAAGGAACGTTTCCAACCCCGCTGTGATGAACCGAGGCAGCATGCCACCCCAGAATAACCTCAACGGAAAACGGCCTCCATTAGTGGACGTCACCAATGCCGATGGAACAGCTGGCGCACATCAAGGGGTCCCGACACTGGGTCCAAACGACCCAAAACGGCCTCGAGTCTCGGGTGCTGACCCCGGACCTCCTTCTGGGCCTCGCCCACTAGCCCAATAATGAACATGATCTGATTTGTCTTTCGGGATCGAGAGAGGGCATCAATGCGCGATTTTCAACTACAAGCGTTCCTATTTCATCGAAATTTCGTTTTAGCTTCACCTCTGGCCTACGGCGCCATAATATGGTTATCACGGCGGGGAAGTATGGCAGGCCTTCCGGAGTCTTCGAAGCAAATGGATCCACAGGATCCTATTCGGGGAAAACAGATGGGTAAACTGGATATCGATACATTTTTTCACATTAGCATATTCTATTTTTGTTATCCTAAACCGAACCTGGAGCATGCAGCACTTCAGGAACACAATGGCAGGCTTAGACCACAGGCTTATGTTGATCCGCAGAAATACCAATCATATCAAAATTGACATCATTTCGATACAAAAGTACGAACAGGGATTGGAAAATCTGGCCCTAAGCCTGATGCCAAAGGCAAGCAGAACCAGAACGTCGACCGGGACCTTCTGTCCCTACTCCCGCCGTGCTTCGAAGGCTAACGGGAAAGTCCAGAACGAATCCAGAACCAATCGCAGAGGACAGCAAGTATCTAGACCCTGGTAGGCACGAACCACAAGAAACACCCAGGTATTCCCCTATGCATATATATGCATGGGTAAGGGCCAGCCCGCGGCACCGGATAGCAGTTCCCATAGCCCGCGTTGTCGGTACGCTGGCATTAACGGATTGGTGCATCAGCTCAGGAAACACAAGGTCTAAGGCCCGATGAACAGTTCTCGGTTTGCTTGGCGGTGCCTGCAGGACGGTGAAATTCTAACCGGCGCAATTTCTCAAGGATGCGGCGCGATTTGGTATTTTTGCTTTTTTTACTTTTTTTTTACTTTTTTTACTTTTTTTACTTTCTTTGCTTTTTGCAATTTGTTTTTATTAATGTTGTTTTTCTTTTCTTCTTTGCATTACACACTCCGAGTGATGATCAAGCGCCGAGGCCACGAGTTGACTGATCGGCGTCTATGCTCCGGCTTCTTGCTTTTGTGGTGCCTGGAGGATATTGTTATCCTGCACTGTCCGAGGTGGGTAGTAGTAGACTAGGGCTACTGACTAGTTACTTGGGCGAAGGTGATTGCCACATACTATGATAGGAGTATATTTAAAGAAGAATGAACCCACGTTCATCGAGACATAATATCGCTTTTCATTGTCAAACTACACTGCTCATGGATACTATTCGAGTAAAGATGACTTCCTTGATTGGTCTTTCCTGGACCGGTTTTCCAGCAGCAAATACTGTTGCTGCCGGTCTCAGTCTCGTCTTCTTCGCTCTGGCCTCTGTTTTTCTATACTCCAGGGCTCATCGAGGGCGAGGGCATACCACAGACTCGACAGTTACCCAAGTAAGAGGCTCTAGTAAACTTTTGATGGTATTTTCTAACGTAATCTCTCTAGGGAACCATGATCATGATCAACATCCCTACTTGGAAAAGATCATATGGCCAAGATGTACAGCAGCCGTATAGGCGTGGATCATATAGCTTCGAAGGTAAGTAAGTTTATTTCCAACCCATCAGAGCCGTCTCTGACTGAATCCAATTGAGTTGAGATATCTAGATGGGATAATTCGGTGACAGGGTATAACTAGATCTCCACAAGACCATCTATATGCCATTATAGAATCAACGCTAGGATTTTGATACGTCATGCTATAGAGCCATACTACAAGTTCAACATATCATAAATAGCAAAGGCTAGTTCTTTAAAGACCGTGCAAATCACACCTCGTCAAGTCTACATGTCGATATCAATATAGACCGTTACGTACTTTGGCCATTATGTACTTTGGCCATTATGTACTTTGGCCATTATGTACTTTGCACCGGATGTCGCTTTGTCTTCCCCGATCGAACTTCCGGGTTCCGTTCCTGACCGCTGTGTCTGCATTTGTGAGCAGTGAATCAAAAAGAAAAGAAAGAAGAAAAGAAAGTACTGTGACAGGTCTGTTCGGGTGCAAAAGTCCTAGAAATGACCGGAACGGGAAGCATGTTCCCCGACTAATGCAGATCGGATATACCGAACTTGTCCAACTCAGAAGTAGGTTTTCTTTATTCCGGGTTGGGTGCAATAGTCTAGGCGGATGTATAATCTGAAACGTGTTTGCTTTTTCTTTTCTTTGTAGCGTGGTAATTTTGCGCTGTATGATGATAGAGTACCTACGTAGTGATAGGTCATGTTTACAGCGCTTTACTTTCTTCCCCTGCATTATTACATGTCTGACTCAATGGCTCATATCCCCAATGAACTACCTACATTTACATCAAGAGATAAAAAACAACAATTAGTTGATTAGAGCTTCAACTATCTGATTAATCATGCAAGACCCGTTAAACGATCATTTGACCTTTCGCTTTTGAACAATTGAACAACTGAAATAGGAACCATTCAGCCAGGGAAAGCAAAGATCTCAAAGCTCAACAAGGCCATAGAAAAGACGAAAATGAAACTGAAGTAGAGACCATAGATGATCAGAGCTGGCTGAGGCTAGTAGAAGAAGAAATCCACTGAAACTCAGACTCTGGAAGACAGAAGCCATTAACTAGTTAGCGGCGAGATTGGTTGGAAGTGAAGAAACCAGCAGCCTTCGCTTTGGGCTGGAGAATCGTCGCAGGGTCAGGCATGGAGAACAGTCCACCCGGAGCTTGCTGGGAAGCTGGGCCATTGAAGTAACCCATGGAGGTCGAAGCACGGTTTGCAACATCCAAGGAGGGCCGATTCTCAGTGTTAGCATGCTGAACGGAAACAGTACGAATGTGGGCTGTTGGCACATCGCGCAACGTGGTTGGCTCATAGGCAGAGGGTGCAGGTCCAATCACGCGGGGTTTGTATGGCGCAGGGCCGATTGTACGAGCGCCCGTTGCCTGGAAATCCTGGTGCTTGGGAATGTTTGGATGGTTTGCGCTCAACACCCGAGCAGTGGTCTGGGAACGCACCGCATTAGGTTCAATAACGTTAGCATTGGGAGTGACAAGGGGTACAGATCCTGCAAAGATCGAATCGTTCAGAGTCTGTGGCTTTTTCGTTGACTCCTTTGCACGTGATCCCAGAGCAGGAGTAGCCTGAACGGACATATCGGATGTAGTAGCCTTCTTTGGAATTCCCAGCGGACGAAGAGCTGGGGCTGGGACCACACGCTGCGGTTGGAGGGGCGCGGCGAGTTTGTCCGAAACCTGAAGAGTCTCGAACTGCGAAATTACGTCGGAACTCTCACTATTGGTTGGCGAGAGGCCGGGCACATGTACCTTGCGCGCGCGTTTATCGGCAGACGGGGGTGAGTTTGAACTAGACGAAGGGGGAGGCGGCGATCGGTGCCCCTCAAATGGAGTAATATCGCGCCGGGCAGTCGAAGAAATTTCAATAGTGTTGATTCCTTGCTGCGATGCGGAAAGATATTCCACAAGTGCAAGCAGATTCCCCAGCCGACCTTCTATATCCGATGATGCAGGTGCTGCAGGTGGTGGAGATGCTGTAGGGATCAACTGAAGCAATTTAGATTCCAGTATGCGTTCGATATCATGTGCAGTAGCCAACTCTTGGGGCGAACGAATGTGTTTGCGAATGTCGCGAAGTTCTTCAATAATTTTCGGACCATATAGACCGAAGCCGTCAAGTTCTCGACTTGAATCATTGCTCGTTGTTTTAGGGGCAATGACTTCGTCAATGCTCTTGGATGGCACCGACTCTCCGACCTTCTCGGCAAACTTCAGACCTGCCAATTCTGCAGCACCTGGACTGTGGACAGTCATTGTGTTCAAATGGTGAGGGGTTATCATTGCTGAATTAACTGGGGCGTCATCGTCGCTAAGAAGATCATGATATTGGGGTTTATGCTTGGTTTCCTCCATCTGGCCAACAGGAACATTCTGCTTGTTGTCTTTGAGTCGAGTGACCTTGGCGACGGGTGTCTTGATGGCCACTGTCTTGAAATGGCGAGGGGTTGTCATAATTGGAGTGTCATCGCTAAGAAGATCATGAGATTGGGGTTTATGCTTGGTTTCCTCCATCTGAACATTCTGCTTGCTGTCTTTGAGTCGAGTGACCTTGGTGACGGGTGTCTTCTTGGCCTCAGCGAGGGGCATAGAGGTTTCCAATGAGACTGCTGTCTTGCTTGGAGGAGCCGTGCTCTTCTTTCGTGGCTCTTCGCCAGGCAAAACCTTCCATTGAATTTTATCCGTGGCAGTTGCGACCACTGCTGGAAGAGGCTGAGAATCCGTCACCATGTGTTTCGCCTTTTTGGGCTTGCCGCCTTGTTTGACAGAAACAGAAACCGAATGAGGTGGGGGTGGGGTGGGTTCTTCCACTGGAGGGAGTTTATTACGTGGCTGAGAAGATTTGAGTGTATCAGGCTGGGCCTTGCGGGTTTTGAAGGATGCGGTCCTCTCAAGAGGAACAACACGGGCTGACCGTGAGGGTGTCTCCACTCCATAGGGTCCAATATGTGGCTGAGATTTCTTGGTTCCAGTAGTAGCCTGGGCCGTGGAGGGTTGGAACGATGTAGTCTTCTCAATAGGAACAACCCGAGATGGCGTTGTCGATGTTGCCACTGGCGATGATGCAGGCTTCGCAGCTGGAAGAATGCTCGCCTTTTTCTTCTTGGGTGTATCGCTCGGAGGCATTTTCACCCTTGGCACGTTGGGTGGAATGGATTCCTGCGAAGATGTAGTCTTCTGAATTGGAGCAGAGACGATTGTATCGGTAGGCTTCTTGTACGTTTCAGTTGCTCGGCGAGACTGAAATAAGGACATGAAGTCCCCGGGCTCAGAGATTCTAGTGGCGAAGTTGATACTGGCCAAGAGTTAGCATATTAATCTCACCAAGAGAAAGAAGCCGGATCACTTACGCCGGAGATGCCCGATGAGGCCTGATGGCGGAAGGCGGGACTAAGAATATTGTTAGCTGTGTTCTTTTTCTGTACCCGTGATCAAAACGTACTGTGAACCTGTTCTTGGGCGTTGCCCCTTCCTCTGCCTCTGCCTCGTCCACGTCCCCTTCCTCGATCTCGAGCATCGCTGTCATCGTTGTTGCAGTTTAACGCAGGGTCCAAATGAATGCTGGCCGACATTGTAGCCGAGCGACCGCGCGGTCCTGGGAGTCCTGAGAGTGTAACATTTCCATGAAAGGAGGGTCTGCGAGTTATTCACCGTCAATTTGGATGTCTGAAATGTCGGGGTAAATCAATTTCTTACCTTGGAGGGATTGGGGGAAGATTAGTAGGTCCCCTGGGGAGAGGAGTAAAACCACCTCGTCCTCTCTTTCCCATAACACCACCACCGCGACCTGCAGATGGAGTTGGGTAAAGGTGGTTTGCGTAGGTTTGCGGCTGACCTCCACTGGGGTGCAACATCGCGTGCAAATTAGCTCGGTGGGACTGGCCGCACTCTATGTCATCGAGTTCCTCCATTCCACTAGTATCTCCGATCTCAGCATGCAAATCTGCGACAAAGATTAGTAAAAGCCTAGAGGGGCTCAAGGGCGTTTCTTTCTCGGTACTTACTTGCCCATTTGCTCAATTGAGCTTCATCTCTCTGATCAAGACGTCGCTTGGATTCAATATCGGCAATGTGGGCACGAGCCTGTTTCCTGATCTCGTCTGTGGAAATCATTTCACGCCGAGCGGTTCCTAGGTCCGCCTATTGATTCAGTCAGTCAGAGAAGCCAGATAGAAGTGAGAGGCTAGATATTACCATTTGAAGCAGTTGCATCTGGCGGAGCTGCTCCGCGGACTCGCTCATCTTGCCGGTGCACTTCCCGTGGCGGGTGAAATGTGAACAACGGTAATGAGGATATTAGATACACTTATACGACACGTCGTTGTCAACGTGTTACCGGCTTAGTACTATGCTTCGGTTGGCCAAAGCGCGAAGGTAAGAGAGGAGTGAGTGAGAGGGAAGGTTAAAGCGTGGGCGATGGTGTATCCCAGAGAGAACGTCTTTGCAGGTCAAAGCGACCTTAGAGGCTTCGAAAGAAGGACAAAGATAAAATGAAGCTTGAAAATCACAAGCAAGGTCCCTAAGGGACAGGCGACCAATGGGGATACTCCGAGGACTTGGGACTCTGCGGAGCGAAAGAAACAGAGACGGACAAGCAGATTTGTGCAAAGCACCCGAGATGAGACTGTGAGAGCCGCTCCAAACGAGAGAATAAGCGAAGAGAAAAACAGGGAGAGAGTGGTTGTAGAAGGAAGAAAGAGAGAAGACGGCAGGAAGGTAAATAAAGGAACGATCAGAGCCAGTTGGATCAAAGACGCGTGCGTGAACGCACAAACATATGAGGGTATCGCTCCTTTGGGTAGCAACGAGGCTGCATAGTGTGTTCTTGATGTTGCGCGGATTGTCCATCGCACCTTCCGTGGAAGCCTTTTGGCCTTAGGGACTGGCAGGCCACGTGCGAGATGGCCACGTGCGAGTCGCGTATACATGTCATAGCAAAGTCCTATAGATATACGTTAGAATGACATTGATAATCATCGTGGTGTTTGGGGATGCAGAGAGTGAGCGGAGTTGTAGAAGATGAGAAACGAAGCAGACGGATTGCGATACCTAA